AGTTAGTTACTACAGTCCGACCCTCCACCATTGCCGAGGAGTCAGTTACTACAGTCCGACCCTCCACCATTGCCGAGGAGTCAGTTACTACAGTTCGACCCTCCACAACTGCCGAGGAGTCAGTTACTATAGTCCGACCCTCCACCATTGTCGAGGAGTTAGTTACTACAGTCCGACCCTCCACAGTCCAACCCTACACTGCTGTCAGAGAAGATTCTACCGTATCCATGGGCGGATACAGGTTTTGTGATTAGGGGGGGCGTGGATAACTTCGTTCAGGCAGGGGGTCTGGGGGCCGCCTTAAGGCCCCCAGTGGGTCCAGGGCGAAGCCCTGGTGGGGGCCCAGGGGGCGAAGCCCCCTGAAGCTCCTGGGTTTTCGTGTATTTTAAGAGTAAAACCAGGCACAATAATAGTGGTATTGGTTAGTTTATATGTACCAAAGTTTGGCATTATTAATACTAATCATATCATACTTTGAATAAAGGGGGCCCAGGGGGCGAAGCCCCCTGAAGCTCCTGGGTTTTCGTGTATTTTAAGAGTAAAACCAGGCACAATAATAGTGGTATTGGTTAGTTTATATGTACCAAAGTTTGGCATTATTAATACTAATCATATCATACTTTGAATAAAGGGGGCCCAGGGGGCGAAGCCCCCGGAAGCTCCTGGGTTTTCGTGTATTTTAAGAGTAAAACTAGGCACAAAAATAGTGGTATTGGTTAGTTATATACTTAGGTATGGCATTATTAATATTAGTCACATCATAGTTTGAAAATTTTAGGGGGGGGCGTGCGCCCCCCACGCCCCCCCCTTAAATCCGCCAGTGGTATCTGCATTATGGAGTGCAAGTGAGTTATTCTTATTATTTCATCACTTCTACATTAAAGATAATTCACTTAATTTTACAGCTGATGTATTATTTTTTTTATCCAGTAGAATTATTTATTATCATTTAATAAGGGAGTTTTTTTTTTAAATTCTCATATGATTGTGAACTATTTTTTTATTTTGTTTTTTTTTATTTTTGAAAATGTAGGAACTCATCTGAAGAGGAAGACAACGACGGAACCACCAGAGAAGGATACCATTTTTGATGAGCCTGAAGTTAAAGGTCAGACCCCCATTCTGATGTATACAATTCTAGTGATGTGTAGTTGTACATTTGTATGTATAATATTTGCAATAGGTGTATCTGTGAAAGATAAACTTTAATGTCCTTGTGAAATGCAATCCATGAAGAGTAAATCCAGAAAAAATTTCTTGGGGTCGAAATAGGATATATAAATTGAGACAAAAATCTGAACTAGACCATGAAAGAATATATTCAAGCTGTTCAGATGATAGAGACAATAAAAAAAATAAAGATTTCTGAAGTTTTATGTTCACACTTTCTGTATGTATATTTGTATATTATTTTTTCTACATCAATAGGATTCTTCATATGGGCAGTTGCTGCAACAATGGCTATTGTCATTGTCTTGTTGAGGAGATGTATACGATAACATGGGTATTGTCAATGCTGTAGATGCATTACACCTACACCTGCGCCACCCACCTCTGGTAATCTTAGCACGCAAACAGAAGAGATTGAACTTGGCTCCTATTCCACACCTTATGCTTCTGAGATATCATCTTCCACGATTCTTCCAAAAACGTCAACACCCAGTAAAGACCCATCGACAAGCATGTTAAGTGTTACAGACCAAGCAACCTCTGTGACCGATCTGACCACAACATCCGTAGAAAGTACAAATCCTCTCCTACCTGTGGCATCACGTACCAGGTCTCAGACCAAACAATTGAAGTTTTGAGTGATGTTTTAAAAGCCTGGGGGAAAAAAGTTTTCTTTTTTTTTATTGATGTACTTGGAAAATTTATATAATTAAAGGGGAACATTATGACATAGAGCGAAAGAGAGGTTATGATGGGGATAATAATAAGACTTCCCTTAAAAAAGATTTGTTTATAAAGTACTATGTTGTTTTGCAAACTTGAGTTTGCATGTTGTTTTTTAAGGAGAATAAGTCATGTTTGTTATATTTTTTGGTATTAGTTATCATACCTGATTGGGTTTTTTTTTCAAATTTTCAGGATTTACTACTTTTGTTCTTGGGAGAATATGAAGGAATCTATATTTTTTAGGGTAATCTTTTAACTAAGAAAAAATCAATTTTTTTCTTTTTAATTATTGTACTGTTGTGGACAATAGGAAATGTTTGTTAATTTTTGAAGCATACTCATATGTTTATATTTCACTAGCCTATGATTGGATGTTTTTGCTGTGATAGGTTAATTACAGAAATATAAATACAGTATAGTATTATCTTGATGATTTTGTACTTTGTTAAAAAAATGTGTTTACTACATGCTGAAAAAAAAGAATCTACTGGTCAGATACTTTTTTTCTATTAATATCATTTTACAATTTTTATAGAAAGTTTGCTATTTGTGTAATATTTACATATATTGATAGTTTTAAAGCACCCTATCAACTGTTATTGATGGTATTGCCCCCTACACTTCTTTACTAGTTGGTCTTTGAAGGAGGCAAATTTTCTGGGTAATTTTTTAATTTTCTAATGAAAAAGTGGATATATTATTATTTAAATGTCAATTTTATCAATTTGATTGTGTGGGTCAAAATTAATGTTTTAATGGAAATCCTATCACAAAAACAACTGTGCTACAAGTTAAAAAATTTGTTTTGTTTTTTCAAAAAAAATTTTTTTTTTACAATTGAAGACATGGCTGACAATCTGTTAAAGGAAATTCTGGATTCTTTAACTGAGGTAGACACCATCAATCTCTTCGCTGCAGCCAATGGTTTAACCGGAGATGCTGAGGTTGAGAACCGCATAAGGGAAGTAGAATGGAATCATCATATTGACAATTTATGGGAAGAAGTTCTGCTTGATCTGGAATCTGCTCCAAAGAGACCGAGGCAATCGGATGAAGATGATCAACCATGTACAAGCTTTCAGTTTGGGGGTGGGGATGAAATCAAAGAGAAACCTTACTACATTTGGAAGAAGGATACCCGAACCTTCAAAAAGAACCTGGCCCGCGACACGAGTTTTAAGGTCAAATTTAATGATCAATGGAGAGGAGAAAAATTGGTCGACATTTACCAAAAAATGCACGACATGTTCGATGATGTGTTGTCGCAGGCCCGAGGACATGATGCCGATTTGGGTCGGGTTGTACTCAGTCACCCGAATTTGAACAACTCTATCGTCGTCCCGCTGCAGTCGTGGGAAAATCTCAATGCCGATACGGTGATGTCCGAGATAACAAAAGTATTAAACTCCAATGAAACAATACCTGTTGATGAACATTTACTTGTCACTGTAGGATCCATCGATTTACCAAAGGGTGGGGGTTGGAGTGGGAATAAGTTACCCGTAACGTCCCTCTTTGGGCCCGGCAATTCGTTGATTAAAAAGAAATCTATCTTGTATGTTGAAAATGACAACAATCTTTGTCTACCCATTTCTATAGGCATTTGTTTCATGAAGATATGCAAGAAAGTAGACGCCACAACGTGGTCACAGTTAATTGGAAATGACCCTGGGACGACAATGGATCACGTAAAAGAGCAGGTGTTCCAGCCAACAGATATCTGGGGTTAAATGACATTGAACCTTTCGAAAATTTGTTGAATGTCAGCATCAACGTGGTGTCATCTCGAGTCGGCAACAAATTTATCAGAGTCATCGAAGATACTGATCGAAGTCGATTATATTTGTACCATGTGGAAACAGAAAATGAAAAACATTGGCACGGTATTGGTAGTATACAGGGCTTTTTCAACGTGTCTTATTTTTGCCATACTTGTTTGAAAGCTTATAAAAACAAACATAACCACACGTGTTCAACCTCCTGTGATGTGTGTTTACACGATGCCTGTCCAAAGACAGAAAATCAAGTAGGATGTATAACCTGTGGTCGTGTGTGCCATTCAATTGCCTGTTTTGAAAGACACAAAGTCGGTAAAAGACTTCACAATAATGAAACCATCCCACCTGTCTGTGATTTATGGCATCAATGTAAGAAATGTCGCGTCAAACTGTCCGTGTCTAAACGTGATCCTAAGTTACACGTATGTGGAGAATGGGAATGCCGCAGCTGTTCCGAATACCACGTAGGTGAACACCTCTGTTTTCAGAAGTCCACTGATTCTGATCCAGGGGAGCGAGAGAAAAAAAAATCATTTTCTACGACTTTGAAACACGCCAAGATGATATTTTTCAATGCGAACAGGGTTACACTCCTGCTCGCATTAGATGCCGTGAATGCGTGAGAAACGACCACCCGTGTGTAAATTGTAGGCTCTGCCGGCATTGTGAGGACCTGTCTTGTGGGCTACAGCAACATAAAGTTAACTTTGCGGTCCTACAGATCTCCTGCCACGTCTGTGAAAAGGAAGAATTAAACAAAGATTCCACATGCGTTAACTGCGGTGAACGTTGTCACAAGTGTGCTAAAATGAAAAAATCAAAGTTTGTCGGTCCCCCCTGTCCAGATACTTGTGGTCATCGGGAACTGATCTTTCGCGGCGAAAGGACCGCAGAAGAGTTTTGTGCCTTTGTGTGTCAACCACACATGAAGAACACCATTTTAATTGCCCACAATGCTAAAAGCTTTGACTTATATCCGATTTTAGAAGTTCTTATTGATAGACATTCGATCCGACCAGATAAAATCATTTACAATGGGTCAAAAGTAATGTATATGCACATCGCAAACAAATTGAATCTCACGTTTTTGGATTCGTTAAATTTCCTTCCCATGAAATTGGCAAAGATTCCAGACGCATTTGGCTTAGAGGAACTCAGCAAGGGATTCTTTCCTCATTTTTTCAATACAAAAGAAAATCAGACTTACGTGGGTCCCTACCCTGCTCTACAATTTTACGGATACGATTTCATGTCGTCGGGAGAAAAAAAAAGTTAGCCTCGTGGCATGCAAGCAAGAGTTCCGAAGTTTTTAACTTTCAAGAAGAAATGTTAAAGTACTGTCGCTCCGACGTGGATATACTGAGAAGGGGTTGTATAGCCTTTCGAAATACCGTCCTTCAAGCCACGACAAGAGAGAGTTCAAGTGTTCAACCCGATGGCACGATTTCAAAGACTACCATTGAGGGTGTGGACCCCTTTGCCTATGTAACGATCGCCAGTGTGTGCATGGGTATTTACAAAACTTTATTTCTCAAGCACAATGTTGAAGTTGAAATTACGAGAGACTTGACGTCCACTTGGCAGGCGTTGGATGACTGTGAGGGGGTGACGGGTGTATGGCTCGATGGAAAATGGAGTGCTCTCAGTGACCTGAAAAAAGAAGACAACACGGAAGTGGGGAAACAACGTTTGAAAAGCCCCATAGCTGTCGTACCGTCTCAGGGATACGTCAGCAAGGATCATTACAGTAAAGTATCCATTCAATGGTTAGAATGGTTGATGTACCGAAGTCGACAACGAGGGACACCACGACATATCCGCCACGCTCTCAATGGGGGAGAACATCACGTTCCAGACACCAATTATCGATGCGATGGATTTGTCGGGAATCCCGAGGGGAAAGGCACCATCTACGAATTTTATGGTAAGAGATTGTTATGAAATTTACTATCGAATTTGCCCCTCCCTTTCCCTAACTGAGGAGAGGGGGCGGCGGCGAATCTTGTGTTGAAAACATAAACATAAATCTTGCTCTTTTTTTTTTACAGGTTGTGTGTACCATGGATGTCCGGAGTGCTTCACACAGGAGCGATCAGATGTCAAACATCCAGCCACAAACCAGACGTTAGACGAACTGTACAAGATGACTAAAAAGCGAGAACGAGAACTTAAAGAGCTTGGATACGATCTGATCGTAGTATGGGAGCACTAGTTTCGACATCAATTGGATAATAATACCGAATTGCAGCAATTCGTTTCCACGCTGGATTTAGAAGACAGACTTGATCCCCGTGACAGTTTCTTTGGTGGTCGGACCAATGCCGTGAAACTTCATTATGAGGTGAAAGAAAACGAGAAAATCCAGTATTACGACTTCACAAGTCTCTATCCATGGATTAATAAATATTGTCGTTATCCCGTGGGTCATCCGACCATTATTACGAACGATTTTCAGGACATATCAAATTATTTTGGACTCGCTAAAGTCAAAGTCCTACCACCCAGAAAACTGTATCACCCCGTGCTCCCGTATCGCTCCCAAGGAAAACTGAAGTTTCCATTGTGTCGAACCTGTGCCGATGCCGAAAATCAACACGCTTGTACTTGTTCTGTTGAGAAAAGGGTAATCACGGGGACGTGGTGTACTCCTGAAATCCAAATGGCAGTGAGAAAAGGGTACAAAATTTTGAAAATATATGAGGTGTACCATTTTGAGCAGTCGTCTCAGTATGACACCACAACAGGTGAGGGGGGTTTGTTTGCAAATTACGTTAATACATTCCTTAAGATAAAACAGGAAGCCTCCGGATTCCCATCCGAGTGTGACAGTGAAGAGTCGAAACGAGAATACATTCGACAATATAAAGAGAACGAGGGTATAGATTTGGAATACGATAAAATTCAGAAAAATCCAGGTTTGCGCTGTTTAGCTAAACTCTGTCTCAACAGTTTTTGGGGGAAATTCGGTCAGAGGCTCAACATGAAACAGTCCAAGTTCTTTCATGAATCTGACTTTGACAAGTTTTTTCAGCTTCTCTCAGATCCTACAAAAGTCCCTCATAATTTTCACATTATATCCAGAGACACCCTCCAATTCGAATGGAGTAACCATCACTTGTTCATGCCTTCAGATTGCAAAACAAATATATTTTTAGCAAGTTTCACTACTGCACATGCGCGTTTGCGCTTATTTGGTGTATTGGATCGATTGGGGGAAAACGTGCTATACTTTGATACAGATAGTGTCATTTTCAAAACTCTCAAGTCTGACGACTTACATTATCTACCTATTGGTAATTATTTAGGGGAACTGACGAACGAAATCACACCTGAAGATGGTCACATTGTAGAATTTGTGTCAGGGGGCCCAAAAAATTATGCATATCGTACGCTCTCGGGTAGGGAAGAATGTAAAGTTCGTGGTTTTACGTTAAACTGGACAAATTCCAAAGTAATTAATTTTAAAGCCATTAAGTCTATAATTTGTACAGCGCAGGATAAGCAGATTGAAATTATCAACCCTTGTAAAATATCCAGGGACAGTCGAAAAAGAAAATTGTTAAATCGAAGAGAAACCAAGCGATATCAAATGGTATACACTAAACGGAGAATTCTTCCCAACCTTGATACACTGCCATTTGGATATTGTTGAAAAGCATGTTAATAAAGACTATGAACATTTTTTTTTTTATCTTACTTTATTATCTGTACTAAAAATTCATTACATGTTTGTATTATTTATTCTTTGAATTATACAAAATAAACGTTCTTTAAACAAGAATAGTTCATTTTTTGGTTCAGTTTAACAATCAGTATGAAAGCCATGGAATGTGTTTCTTGCGGCTTTTCATGGACACACCAGGAGGTTTTCCTATTGTTTTCGTTTTACTGACGTAGCCACTGCCTGTCTGTGAGATGTTGTCGATTGATTCACTCCTTGTTGTATCAGTTAGGGTGTTTTCAGGTATCTGTTGTCTCTGATCGTCATTCACAGTGTCTGGCTTAATAGGTTCCTCATTCTCCCCGATTTTTTTAAGTAGATGTTCGTATTTTAATTTAGGCAATAATATCATTTCTCTCGCCATTTTTGTCTAAATGATGAACGATAGGTTTCAACAACAGGGACAGCAATTGTAGATGGTTCAATAAAATTCTACGCTTTTGCTTTGAAGTGACTTCTCTTGATCCCAGTGATCGAATGTTCGAATGGTAAGGTTTCAGTTGATTTATATACTTCTTACTCAGAGGAAAAGTCCCTGTGTATATATATTCAGGGCTATTTCACTGATGACATCGTATTGTTCACTAGTCAAAGATTTAATAATCATTCTCTGTTGAGTAGTGTTTGCACTTAGCATAAAAGAAAGAAATGCTCTCTGCTTCCGTATTCTTCGATTCATATTGGTATACTGAATAAATTACAATGGATAACATGTTTTTATAGAGGTTGATAAATAACCATGTCCTCTCCAGGCAAGATGCGGGATCGCAGTTGGTATTTTTTGTTTTGGGTAGGTTCTAAACACACATGCAAATAGCCAAAATTTGGACTTGTTGCTGCTTCGTATGCTGTTTTGAAACACGATACATATCCTGGTAATATTTGAGATCCGAAGGTGATGATCTGGCGGGAATCACGGTAATTCCTGAATAAAATCACATTAAGACAGTTCAGAGATATGGTCCTGGCATATTTACCAGGAGGGTACAAGTTTTGAGAGAGCATAATAGTGGTTACGTTACGGTGATGAGAAGTCACCGTAAAAAGATGTACACAATCTTGAGATTGAGCAACTTGTAGCATAAGATCGTCTAATACAACTATCGTGTGGTTTACATTCTCAGTATACTGTTCTATATCTTCCTTGGAGGGTAATCCTTGATGTAATATGAGTCTGGGTATGTTTGCCCTCATTTCGTCAAACATGGATTGATATTCAGAATAAGCATAGATGATTTTATCTACAGAAGTGGAAAACATGCCATCTGCATTTTGCAAGAGTCGTTTAGTGAAATGGGTCTTTCCGCTTTGCGTACTACCACAAATCAAAATTGTGGTGGGTGCTGAAAATGGTAGTAGATATTTTGTTTTCCACCATTCGATCTGCGTTGCCATGTTTCCCTTTCCTCTACTGATTAACGAATGATTTGACATGTAATACTGAACAAGTATTTATAAAAAAAAAAGTCACCAATGTCATATATCATGTTTATTGATACAACAATTCATGTATGAAACTACGTACAAAGTCATCATTAAGTTGAATGCTACTAGAAAATAAAGTATAAACACGTGACAAAGACATTTTAAGACACAATCTAGATATCAAAAATACAAGTACATAAAGCCCACACAAATCTGAATAGGAAGGTTGAAGTCGTTTACATTTAAAGTTACAGAATTCACTATTCTTATAAATAAAGTTCTCAATCTCTGGATAATTCCCAAGTGGTTTCCCTAGACTGTCAAAAAATCAGCCTCCGAGGAACTGTGTATGATTACAGCAATCCAATGCTCTCCAGGAAATGGCAAAGGTTGCGTATTGATGATGAAGGCACTTGGGTAATGCGTCACGACTTCCGGTAAAGTATTACTGGCATGTACTCCTTTTACAAATCGTTTTAGGACAGGTTCCTTGTGCACAAAATCGAGGAGCTGTTTTGAATTCATGGTTGAATGTAATTGATGTCTCGGGACTTGTCCACTTCTAGTAGAGAGGAAAAGGTGGCAAACACCAAAACGTTTGCAGCTTTTGTTGTTGCTTGTTTGAACTTTAGTTCGAGTCTGGTGTTTCCTCTTCGAATCAGGTTTAAATATTCTTCACCAAAACCACAGGGATCTATGGTAAAGATGAACAAAGAATATCCACTTCCAAAGTTGTCTCGAGTAATTACTAGCCCAGCGTCTTGATTCCATTTTCCAGAGGCCTCAAACAGTCGAGCATATGCTGATGAATAATGTCCTGTCGTGAAATCGGTTTTTAAGGGTCTTCCTTGGACACTTTCTCCGTTTACGTATATCCCTACATCCGTTACACCAAAATGCTCGAAATTGAAACGATTGGTTGTGTAATCCCCGTTAACAGCTTTTTGATCTACCAATCCTACAACGATGCGGTCGGGTACTGCCTGAGGAAAAATGTTGTCCCAGTAAAATTCAGTAGATCCTCTAGGAATGGTGTTCATTTTCAATTCATTTCTTGAGATGGTGTATTTTACAGGGGTAGATTCTATCTGCTTGCTGTGGTTCAATAGAACTCCAGGATCTACTCGCACTTTGGCCACTTTGTACACGACATCTAGTAATTCCAGTCTGTAAGCCGGGGTGCTCTGTGCTGTCATTACAAAAGGTGCACTAGATCTAAAAAGCTTGATGTAGATATCTACGCCATTGATCAGGTATTTGTCGATGTCAAAAATATCTTCCATCAGGTTACCCTCTAGTTCAAATACTTTACTTTCCTGTGTATAGCCGTATGGCAGGACTAGTCCAGCATTGCCACCATTGTAGGCATTCGCATCACCCAAATTTCCTTCGTCCTTAAAAAACAACTGGGACTGCTTTTGGGAAGATAATTCCTCTTTTCCACCAAACAAGACTGTTTTCAGGTATGCCTTCCAAGGATTATTATTCGTATTAAAGGAAACCAACTTGTTATTTAAGTAGACATCAATCTGCGAAAACATGCTTTGCAATGGGAGATTCACAATTCCAGTCTTCTCATTGGCCGCTAATGAGGAAACATCCGCTTTTAAAATCCTGGCTTTTACATACAATCGGCTTCTTTTTAAATCGATATATTCCGCCCCCGATCCAGATACGACTATTTCTATGGGAGTATCTGACACTCCAATACTGGAAATCGGTCTGGCTTCAGTAAAATACACTTTTTCGACTGCTACCCGATTAGTGGGTGACGCAAAGAGAGAAAGTTCCATTGGCTGGGCTATGTCTTTATTATCACTGCTTAAGAAGGCCATCTTTACTGCTTAAAAACGTTCTTGTAACTATCGATCTTAAAGAGTTTTTTCGACTTTTGTGATGTCTTTTTCCTCCAGATGTATGTCGCTTTTTAGGTCTTCCGTTCGTTTTCTTTTTCGAGACTGGTTTTTTCTTCCCAAGATTGAATTTCTTGCTCTCCCTCCTCCTCTTGTGCGATGTTGACGTCTTCAATTTTTTAGTAGGAATGACTGTGGAGTGTTTTGATGGTCTTTTTATACCCTTGGTCACCTTGACAAAGGGAACGCCTTCTTTTACGTCTTTCACATGTTCCGATTTGGCTCTCTCTTCCACGGCAGCCACCGGTGTCACTTGAGGGGTAGGGTTAACGGATTCTAACTGTGAATGAGGTCTAATCGGAATGACATAAGATTTTCGTTTTCTCATACCCCTTCCAATTTGTTTGGGTTTATATTTGTACGGACTGAACTTTTTCTCTGCCATGTTTTTATAAAAAGCTTCCCAGATTTTAGGGTCACTTATGTACGTCTGACTATTCATTATAAAACGTAAGGGAATTTCTTAAAGTGAAGTGTAGCGCTCACCGGTCCGTCTAGAAATGGCACTAAGTTGCCTGCTCTGTCCGTTATATATATATATATACAGATCTGTTGTAATTGACCAATCTTTACGGGAAGATAATAAGGTAACGTGTAGATGATGTTGTTCTCCTGTTTTTCTCCAAGAAAAACTCGTCGTAAGAGGGGTACGTTTTTACCACCAACAATGGTTTCCTCGCATATGTCACAGCATATGTACACCTCAGGGGTTTTCTTGGCTGGATCCCAACTCTCTGTAGTAAATTCTGTTAAAGCAACTGTCCAGTATCCATCCAATTGAATTTGTATATTCAAGTGAACTCGAAAACAATTGGGTTTATTGTCAAAATATTCGGAACTGTCTGTAGACCTCAACACCATTCGAAGGCTCATCTTGACTGATGATGATTTGTTAAAAAACTGTATTTATTTAGTGTTTCCAAGAGAACTTTCGAGAATCCACGAATTGAATTTACTAGGCCATCCGTCCCATTTTACGTACACTTCCTTTTTATTCCCGCGTTTTCGCTTTTTCAACACCTTTTCCACTCTATACAGAATATCTCCCGACTTCATGACTTTTTGAAGTTCCGATTCATAAAATGTGCCTTCTATTGGATCATCGGCTAAATCCTTTATTTTGTACACAGGTATACCAGCTCTCTTGTAGCGATTAGACACTTTAAAATATTCTTCAGTCCATTTTTGCTGGTAGTCTCTTTGAAATGGATGTTTGAGCTGTGAAATACGTACGATATCACCTATTTTATACTTAAAAATTGGTTTAGTTCTTTTCTTTTTATTAATCGATTTGATTGTTTTTTCCAACTTGTTTTTCCTCACAGGATTCTTTTTCTTGGTACTGAGATAGGAAATGAGTCTCACCTCATCTGCATTTTCCTTGGTAACAGTAACAGGTGCTTGTTCTCCAAGAGATCTGTGAGGTCTCTGGTTATAACTAGTCACTAAATCTTGTAAAACATCAACATAACGGTATGTTCTATTTTTCAGAAAATAACGATACATAAGATTTTTCATGGTACGAATAACTCTTTCAGCATAGTTTGCTTTAGTTTCATTCTGGGTGTATATGACATGGACACCCTCCTTTTT